GCGGTCTAAATATTCCCGAATGAGTTCTGTAAACTAGTTTTAATTTTTTGCCTGTGTCATGGAACTTTTTTTTTTTTTTTAAAGAATTTCATTTAGGAACCAGCTGGTGACATAATGGTTACATTGCTGGACTCCTATGTAGTCAGCTGCAGTTCAAGTACTGAGGTTTAAAACGTGCTGGGCACATGTGCATACATGCCCAAACTCCCAAGAGGAGAATGGAGAAGGGATTATGGCATGATTATGCAACCTGGAGGATGATTTCTCACTTTCTGCCTCTCTGTTTCTCCAGTGAGCACACATGCCCTATAGCAAAAATCTCTCCTTAAAAAAAAAAAAAAAAAGAAAGAAAAAAAAAGAATTTAATTTAATTCATTATTATTATTTTTTTAATTTGGCCAGAAAAAGAGAGAGAGGTAAAGTGAGAAAACAAGCTGCCAGATCTGGAACTTGAACTGTGGTTGATCATGTGGGAGTCCAGCACCTTAACCACCATGCCGCCCGCCAGCCCATAGAAAATTCTTTTCTTTTTTTTGGAGAGGTTTTTGTTATAGGGCGCGTACACTCGCAATACAGAGACAGAGAGAAAGTGAGAAATCACTCCCGAGGGGAGATGGCCATGCTGCAATCCTTTCTTCTCCATTCTCTTCTGGGGATCTTGGGCACGCACACACACGCGCCCAGCGTGAGCTTTAAGCCACCAGGTCCGGGACTCGAACCATGGTCAACTCTGGGACTCAAACCACGGTCGACTACATGGGAGTCCAGCGACATAACCATTACACTCACTGCTGATCCCGAAAATTCTTAATGGAGAATGAAAATTACTGTTATTTTAGACATAATTTTTCCTTTTTTTTTTGTTTTGGTTTTGGTTTTGATTTTTACCATAGTGTGTGTGCACTCGCTGGAGAAGAGAGAAACAGATTCTCTGATTCTCCTCTTGGGATTCTGGGCATGCACACACATGTGCAGGGTGTGATTGTCAAGCCACTGGGTCCAGGATTTGAACCTCAGTTGGTCATGTTGGTCATGTGGTAATCAGTGCCTTCACCATCACACCACCTGCTGGCCCCCCCTTCTATTCTTGTAAGCAATAATTTTTTTTTTTTTTTAGAGGCACATTTGCTCACCAAAGAGACAGAGATAAAAAATGAAAAATCACCCCCCAAGGAGTATGACCATGCTGAGATTCTTTCTCCTTCATCCTCTTCCTGGGATTTTGAGTATCCATGGGCACGCATAAGTGCCCACCGTGAGTTTTAAGCCACTGGGTCTGGGACTCGAACTACAGTCGACTATGTGGGAATCCAGTGACATAACTATTATGCTATCTGCTGGTCATGTAAGCAAGAAATTTCTAACTAGAAAATATTCTACCTTTGATTTCACAGAAGAATAAATACAACATAAATAAATTGACCTATTTTACCATTACAAGAATCCTCCTCTGTTTAAGATCTAATGGATTTTTCTTAAAACTTTTAGAGTCAAGGATTAAAATCATGTAGTAAACTTTGACTATTCAGGATTTTTCCAGCTATATATTTCAAGAGTCTATTAATTCTTTTAACAACTACGAAAACATGGGGTTATGGAGATGGGCAAAGATCAAAACAAGTGTAAATTGTAAGCATTTAGAAATATAATAAATTTTACCATAAAGCTTTCCTACTGGAAAGGCTTATCTTCAAGGGTAGAGACAAAGAGTCTGGTTTACTGTAATATTTATTCCTGGGCCAGCTATGTGATACATTGGTTAAGGCAGCCGGATCCCACATGGCCGACTGCACAATTTGAGTCCCAGACCCAGTAGTTTGCAAAACATGCCAGGCGCACATGTGTCTGCCTATGATCCAGAGAATGGAGAAGAAGAGATGGCAGTGTGGCTGTCCTCTCTGGAGGGTGCTTTCTCACTTTCCTTCTCACTCTCTCTGCAGTAAGTACACCTGCCCTATAGCAAACTAAATATATATTCATGTATTACTATATATATATACCTCCTATTATTATACCGCATATTATTTACTCATGAAGACACTAAGTACCTGGGTAAGAGTTATGAACCATCCCCTAGAGAGTGCCGCCTTCATCATCAGGCCTTTTGAGAGGACAGAGTCTTTCCTTCCAAGAATCATGACTTTACTAAAACTTCCGTTTGTATTCTCTAGGAAAGGAATTGGGAGCCTCCTAATTGGGGATTTGCAATATATTGTAAATAAATCGTGGCTCAAAGCCACGGATCGCTGCATCCGTTATTGTCCAGGAACTTTACATTTTTAAGTGGAAGATGTGAGAATAATCTGATTTAAATGACATCAGAAAAATTTACAGTATTTCAACTAAATAACCATAAAAAATCTATTTGGCTGAAATAACTTGCTGGACAGAAGCAGGAGAGGGAGGGAACAGGAAAATCTGCAAGTTGTGAGGAGCAGCTGAAAGGGAAAAGGCAGGAGTGAGGTGGGATGCAAGATTAGACCTTCTGAATGAATTTTTATCCTTTCTCTGCGGTCGTAGGAAAAAAAGGACCATTTAAAAAAAATTTTCTCTCTTCCTTAGTGATTTTTAAAAGACTCACAGATGAAAAGCTGGACCAGCAGTTAGCATAGTGGCTATGTTGCTGGACTCCCACCTAGTCAACCGTGGTTGGAGTCCCAAACCCGGTGGCGTAAACTCACGCTGGGTGTGTGTGCGTGACCAAAATCCCGAAAGGAGAATGGAGGAGAAGGGATTGCGGCGTGACCATCCCCCCTAGGGGGGTGACTTCTCGCTTTCTGTCTCTCTGTCTCTTTCTGTCTTTCTGGTGAGCGCACGCACCCTATAGCAAAAACCTCTCCAAAAAAAAAAAGTAACTGGTTTGATGTAACGCTAATAAAACGTCGTTTGTGCTACCTATTGATTTGCACGTCAATTCAGTAATAGTATTATAAAAGTAAACAGTCCATTTGAAAAAAAAAATTAGCTCGAGCCAAGTGAACAGAAACAGGAACAGAGAGCCAGCCTACAATCTGGCCTACTTTTTTAAAAAAGCGCAGAGAAAAGGCACTATAAATCCCATTAGGTCATATTATTTAAACTTTGAAATATATCATGGTGTGTCTTTCTTTAAGTTTATGGCAAAAATAACAAAGCTTTTCCAATAAAAGCGAACCAAAAAAAAAAACGCCTTCCTTTTCCGTTTCCTCGATTTAACAGCTGCAACGAAGAAAAAAAAAAAAAGCTGCAGAGGTGGGGCTTAGGGCTCCGCCCACTTCCTTGCTGTTTTCAAACAGGTCCGCTCCAAGAGAATATAAGCTCCGGTCTGCGGCGTATTGCTCTGCTGATCGCTAGCTTTCCTGCTCGTGCTGTGCTACGCCGATATGTCTGGCCGAGGAAAAGGAGGCAAAGGGCTGGGAAAGGGAGGCGCCAAGCGCCACCGGAAGGTGTTGCGGGACAATATCCAGGGCATTACCAAACCTGCGATCCGCCGCCTCGCCCGTCGTGGGGGTGTCAAGCGGATCTCCGGGCTCATCTATGAGGAGACCCGGGGAGTGCTCAAAGTCTTCCTGGAGAATGTGATCCGCGATGCGGTGACTTACACGGAGCACGCCAAGCGCAAGACGGTCACGGCCATGGACGTGGTGTACGCCCTGAAACGCCAGGGCCGCACCCTCTACGGCTTCGGCGGCTGAGCTGTCCCCAGGTTTTCCCTCCAGACTCCCCAAAGGCCCTTTTTAGGGCCCACAGAGCGTCAAAGAGGAGCTGTTAGCAACGAGCTGCCTATTTCTGTTAGTGCCAGGGCTAAGCAGGGACGCAATGGTGTTTTTGCGTGTCCGGCGGCTCCCTCTGACGAGGAAGAGGCTTGCGTTCG